TGGCTGGTAGTTGTAGGCCGCTGCTGCTGCTGGCGGTGGAGGCGGAGGTGCGGCAGCATAGGGGACTGCTGGCTGTGAGGGACCGGAGAAAGGCACTGGCCAACCTGCGCTGCTGTTGTTTGCATAAGCGTTAGCGTTTGATGGTCCAGAAGGTGCCGGAGACGCATGTTGCTGTTGCTGCTGCTTTTGAGGTTGTTGAGACTGTTGTGACTGCTGCTGCTGCTGTTGTTGTTGCTGGCGTTCCCGTTCCCTCTTTTCACGTTGCCGTTGTTTGCGGTTCTTGTTCTTCCCACCACCGCCGGCTGGAGATTGCTGGGATTGGGCTTGCTGAGACTGGCCACGGTCCTGCTGGGTGTAAGACTGGCTGCGATCTTGCTGTTGGCGGGCTGGCGATGCCGAGGTTGCGGACCGTCCCTCTTGATACTGATTCCTCTGGTTGTTCTGTTGGCGATCTTGGAACTGCTCTGGTTGCCTGCCACGGTCAGATTGATTCTTGCCGCCACGTCCACCCTTATCTCCGCCTCGGTTGTTCTGGTTGTTGTTGCCGCCTCCTCGGTCGCCTCGCTGTCCTCCACCACCACGACCCCCGAAGTCGCCACGTCCGCCGCCAAAGCCTCCTCTGTCGCCGCGTCCACCACCAAAGTCACCGCGACCGCCACCACCTCCTCGACCACGGAAGCCGCGACCTCGATCACCCCAGGGACCTCTGCCGCGACCCATACCCCTACGGACATGGCTGCGATCTTCTAATGGTGCACCTTGCCCAACAATCTGCTCGAAATGGTCTGGTCTGGCAAGCGGCTTGTACATGCCGAGATCTTCGTCTTCGTCATCGCTGTATTTCAAACCACCGCCCTGGTATTCCATGGGTCGGTAGATGGGCGGTGCGGGAGCGTCGACGTGTAGTCTGGGCCCGGTGGGGATGTTGACGGGCGCCACTGGCTCGTCGTTGCCTTCTTGCCTGGCTCGCTTCTTAGCCTTTTGTTCGCGCTTGTATTCGGCCTCCTTCTCGTCGTCTGAGAACTCGACATCGTTGGTCTCTTCGTCGTGGAGATTCGATGCGTCGGTGTGCTTCTGTCGGCGGATGGGCTCTGTCTCGGTGAAGGTCGAGTGCTCGTCCACGTAGTAGATGGGTGTGTCCTTCTTGATACCTAGAGTCTCGAGTTCAGCGGCATCGTTAAAGCCAAAAGAGTAGCGCGGCTCCTCCACGCGACCAATCTGCTCGGAGACCTTGCCGACTACAGTGCGGTTTTCGAGGCATAGCGCCGAGCCAGACTCCAGCACCTGCTCATCGCCAGACATCTTGGCCTTGACAACAACGAGGTTCCCGACGATGGACTCCACCTTGCCGAGCTCTGTGATCTTGGTCTCCGGCGTGACTGTGATGTCGGGCATTTCGAACTTTTCATCTTGTTCATTGAGCGTCTTGACCTTGACGGGGCCGGACGCGCCTGGCTCGTCGGCGGCCTCTGCCATCAAGAGACGAACCTGCTCCTCGGGGTCGAGCAGCTCGCCCTCGTCTGAGCCCTCATCTGAGCTGTCGTCCGAACTGGAGGAGTCGGACGATGAGTCTGAGTCGGATGCATCTGAGTCGAGCTGCCATTCGGCGCTCTGGTCATTCCTGTTGGCTTCGGCGGCGCGCAGGAACTCGGCCTTGCTATCGAACGCCGCGCCATCGGGGGCAGGAGCGTCTGTGGTGTCTTCAATCTCGTTCTGGAGGTCTATGGCGGCGGTCAGGGCCGCATCGAGCTCGCCGTCTGTGTCGGCAGCAGGCGTATCGGCAGCAACGACGGCCTGGAGCTGTGGAGCCTCATCCTGCGCCTGGCCGTGATTGGCTACGGGCGGCTCGACTGGGATGGCGGCCTGCGGGCTCGCATCATTGTAGAAGGCCTCGTCATCCGAGAGCTCGCCGTCCTCCGGGGCGTCGTCTGGGACGACTGCGCCGTTTGGTGGTTGCGACTGCGACTGCGCGGCCGGGGTCTCGCTCACAGAGCCGAGTCCAGGAAGGTGAAAGGCCGGCGCGGGTGCCGCCGTCGCCAACAACGACGTCGCTCCGTCCGCCTGTGAGGGCAACGCAGAGGGCTTGACGGGCGTAGTGTCGTAGAAGTCGTCGTCCATGTCATCGACAGGCGAGCCCGGCGCGTCGAGCGCAGATGCAGATGTAGATGTGCCATAAAAGGGAGCGTCCGCCTCCAACCGCGCCCTTTTGGCCGGTGGTTCCAGAGAGTCGGACATTGCTCGTGTCTCTCTCTGCAGTCTTCTCTGAAGCACGCGTGATGGCTGAGTTATCCACTGCGTTGTCTGCACCAGTTTGCTTAAATGCGTGCGATGATAGTTCTGGTTGAAAGGAGCGCTTCAGGGAAGAACGTCGCCTTTTTGGATGCGCGCTAACAAGCTTGGCGGGCACGCGCAGCTCAGCCCTATGACCGCGAGACCCACCGCGTCATTCTGTGAAAGTGACGATACTCTGTGATGGAGGTTGCCGTCACGTTCTGGAATCATTGTCGCTGACATGTCTGCATCGCGCTCAAAGACGGCGCATTCGGCCCCTGAGTGAGTTCAATTGAGCCATGCCATAATCCCCTACCCTGCGATCACAGGCTAACGTATGCATCATGTGTCCAGTACACCACCCCATCTCTCCACGTTCGGCATCTTCTGCGTGTTCGCCCTAGCCAACCTCACCGCCGCCGCCCTCTCGCCGATCCAAGACTGCGACGAAGTCTTCAACTACTGGGAACCAAGCCACTACCTCAACCATGGCTACGGTCTGCAGACCTGGGAGTACTCTCCTGACTATGCCATCCGAAGCTGGGCCTACACTGCTATACACTCGCTCATAATAGGGCTCGCGATGCTGCCACTACAAATACTAGGCTTGCAAAGATCCAAGGTTTTCGAGTTCTACTTCCTGCGAGCGGTTCTAGCCATAGTCTGCGCAGGATGCCAGTCTCGCATGTACACGGCTATCATGAAGATGTTCGAAGTGCGCGTTGCGTCCTTCTTCGCCATGATCATGGTCATAAGCCCCGGCATGTATCATGCTTCCCCTGCATATCTTCCGTCGAGTTTCGCCATGAATTGTGCAATGCTCGGATTTGCGTCTTTCATGGACTGGTCCGGACGTAAAATGAGGACTGCACAAGGTATTGCATGGTTCGCCGTTGGCAGTGCTCTTGGTTGGCCCTTTGCCGGTGCGCTCGCTCTGCCCTTCATTGCGGAAGACTTCATTGCAGGCGTGTTCACCAGCACCATTAAAGAGAGTCTGCGTCGCATACTACTCCAGGGCGCACCTAGAGCCCTTGCCATCGTAATCTTGCAGACCGCGATCGACTCGCTGTTTTACAGGAGGCTCGTGTGCGTGCCGCTCAACATCGTTTTATACAACGTTTTCAGTGGTGGTAGTAGAGGCCCTGATATCTACGGTGTAGAGCCATGGCATTTCTACGTTCGAAATCTAGCGCTCAACTTCAACATTTGGTTCTTCCTCGCGCTGGCTGCTCTCCCGCTGCTGCTGATCCAGTACCTCGTATTTGACAGGGCTGTTTATCGGAACACGCTCACGAGGTCCATCACCTTCGTCAGCCCATTCTACTTGTGGTTGGCAATATTCACCGTCCAGCCTCATAAAGAGGAGCGGTTCATGTATCCAGCGTATCCTGCATTAGCATGGAACGCAGCCCTCTCTTTACACATCTTGCTAGCCAACTTTGGTTCGATGGACCCACGACACCTAGTCAGCAAGATACCTCCAATGATGAAACTCGTCATCGTCTGTGTTCCCATCATCCTGTCCTTGAATCTGGGCATACTTAGAATTCATGGTATGTATCACCTCTTATACTATCGATCAGCAAGCACTAGTACCTTTGGCAGAACCTTGAATTGATCTTTAACACATTTCAGGTCACATGTCCGCATACTCAGCGCCACTCAATGTTTACAAGCCATTGTTCGACCCCACGATTGCACGCTCGGGAGACACCGTATGTCTAGGCAAAGAGTGGTATCGCTTTCCATCCTCCTTCAACCTGCCCCAAGGTGTCCGCGCCAAGTTCATCAAGAGCGAGTTCTCAGGCCTCCTACCAGGCGAGTTCAGCGAAGCCGACGCCAGTCTTGGACTATTCCCCGGCACCTGGCTTATACCATCTGGAATGAACGATGAGAATCTAGAAGATCCCAGCAAATATGTATGTGAACTAGGGAATGAAGACGTGGATCCCACTAACCTGACGAAACAGACCAATATCGAGCAGTGCGACTTCGTCGTTGATTCTCGCTCTGCTGGCGCTCCACCAACAGCGCTCGAACCGGACTACATCTCTGATACAGAGCATTGGAAAGCGTTGAAGTGTCTTCCTTTCCTAGACGCAAGCAAGACACATACCATCAGTCGCATGCTCTGGGTCCCAGACCTATCTATCATCCCCGCCAAGTTCCGTCGCCAATGGGGCGACTACTGCTTACTACAGCGCAAAGATCAGATAGGCGCATAGTATACACATGTAAATACCAGTCGTCGGACACAAAGTGGGGGTGATCCGGACCCAACGCAGACAGAGAATACCGAATCCAAAGCCAACTCCACTTCCCCAACGGCGTCACGGTGCAACTCATGAAAACACGTTGTGGAATTGTTGCGCCCCCAGACCACATCGCAGGCATGCTGTTCGGACGTCCATTCCTGTTATCAAGAGTCGCATCGATAGACACCAGGTCTAACCAAGTGGGGTATTCCTTTCCCCGCCCAGGCAAGATAACCACTACTGACGACACATGCGCACCAACCCCACAGTGTCCAGGGTCGTTATCGCGGAAGACGATTGGCTTGTACATATCCCAGATGAATTAATAGGAAGTCGATTTACATGTCGCGCATGATGTGTAAGGTCATTGGGTACTGTGCTGTTTTGTTTGTGACTACTTATACTATGGACGTGACGTCCTCTCTTTTTTGCACTTGGACTTTGTAGTAGTAGTCCCGTTACTTGGTGTTCATCATGACTGCTCTTATCACCGACCTAGACGAACATGCCAGACGTCTTGCACGTGACATACAACAGCACTACACCAACGCTCAAACCCGCCTTAACAACGTCCTCAAACAGACTGATATCCAACCCAAAGCAGCGCTCTACTCCCTCCTCCTCTTCGCCGCATTCACATACTTCACCATCGCCGTCACCAACCTAATCCGCGCCCGCAGACAAAACAATTCACGACCCAGTACGCCCAACCTCGAAAAACGAGGCCCGTTCAAAACAGCGGATCGCCCTCCAGGAGTATGGCCACCCTCAGACTTCACCCGGCCTCCGGCGACCCCCTACCCATCCTTTTCGCTCACTACCACTAAGCCCCTACCTTACCGTCCCTTCCGCCACGGCCCCAAGTACAACATCACAATGGGTCTTCGCAACATGAACTGGGACGAATGGATAGAACTCGACAACCAGTACATGCAGTTCCACGACCTAAAAGCAAGAAGGATAGAAGAGCGAGGAGCGAAATGCATCAAAACAGCCCCAGAAGCCGTCGCTGCCGCAGTGGAACTCCTCGAGGAATTATCTTCCTACCTACCACAACGTTATCCCACCGTCTTCCAGACCATCCCCACTTCCGAGGGTATGAAGAACGGATTCAGGAATTTGGCCACGGGCGAAATCTTCGATGTTGAAAGACTGGAGAGGAATGGCGTGGAGGAAGATGCGATGGAGATGTGTGCGAGGTTGGTTCAAGACGATCTTGCTATTATGGTGGAGAGGGAAGATGAACAGTACTACCTCCTCGCTGGCGCGATACTCTTAGCGGGGTTTTGGAGGTTGGAGGATAAGTTTGGTATGCCATTGTCTACTATTCATACTAGTGGGGATGTGCCTGGGTATGTTGTCTCCCCTCTTCTCCATCCACCTCCATCCTTCTCCATCAACCCTAGCCTCCCTCAGTCGACGCACGATTTGCTTACAATGCTGAACAACAGTTTCAAGACCAAGCTCGAAAAACCAATGTCCAACTTCTTCCGGCGAATCCAACCCCAATCCCCCGTACTACGAAACAACTACTTCATCCAAGTCGACGACAATCTCGCGTGGAGCTCTAGTATAGGACCTGAAGATACAGAGGGAGAGGGCGGGATAGGCTGGTTTACAGCGGAGAAGAACAAGGCAGTTGAGCATCATTGGTTTAGGAGTGAGAGACAGAGTCTGAGGAGGTACGTCAACAGCATCCTCACCGTCATGAATATTCCCTTCGCGGTCTCCATCTTACCTGTCCACGCTTCACATCAATAGCAACGGATTACTTCAACTGACAATCACTACCAGACTCCCCAAATCCGGCGGCGTAGTCTTCACAATCCGGACCTACTTCCACCCCATCACGGAAATCGCACAGGAGCCGTATGTACCGGGTAGACTAGCCAGTGCGATTCGTTCTTGGGGGGACGATGTGAGTCGGTACAAGGGGAAGGAGATGTATGGGGATGTGCTGTTGGAGTATTTAGATAGGAAACATCAAGAGCAGGTGGAGGCGGGGTTGGATGTTGATGCTGAAGATGGGGTGAGGGGGTATCCTTTTTGAGCGAACCATGAATCGTCTTTTTCGATGGGTGGTAGGCTGGGGGTATCCGATGCGTATTGTCTTGTCTCTTGACAACACAAGGCTTTCATATGTTTGGAGGCTGCCGTATTTATTATTTCTCATTTATTGGTTTTGGATAGGCAACACATCGTATTGAATATCCAAGTCGTCGGTGTATTCGCACAGGCATTCTTATAAGTTTGCGGAAGGAGACGCGAATATTGTCGGAGAACGATCTTGCCCTTCACGACACATCTTCACCGATCTCGGTACAAGCGATATGCACCGCAGATCTACCATCCTGTCCATTCACGCGTTCGTATCGAAAATCTCAGGGTGATTAGCTTAGGCTCGTCCCTTTTGCTCCGCCATTCGGCCCGGATGATAACGAGGCGAAGTCGGAGTGCTGCAGGTCGTGCCGAATATAGAAAATTGTGCTGTGCATCAGGCAGTTCTTCGGTCTGCGAAAACATACTCCACTACTGTCGTATCTGCTGCATATGGCTTTCAAGTGCTTTGGGTGGTGTGCTCGGCTTAGGTCGGCACGAGCTAGATGTACCGGCGCAGGTTTTGCTGTAAGGTGGAATTAGTGTGTGGGCGTCTGTGTATTTTTACAGGTGTCAAGCGGTGGAGGCCAGATGCACGACGTGACAGGTGGTACCATGGTTGATGTCGTGCAGTAGCTCGCGGTTTGATGGGCATCCGGGGTGTTACTATAGTGCGCTTGTGGGATTGCAGCCTGACGCAACGGGCAGAGATGATGTACGTGATAATGCGCGTCGAGTCAGCTTGAACGTTAGACGTTAAAATCCTGTGTAGTCAGTGTGGATGCGTAAAATTGCGGCAGCGACTGTTGAAGGGAGCCCTGTTTCATAAGAGGGATGTTGATGACGTTGCGCAGGGTCGGAGATGAGCCGCCTTGGTGTTTGCAGGATGCTAAGGGATTGCGATGGAGGGAAACACTTGTTTAGCGAGATGATGAGGGTGGCCAATGGCGGCGTTGGATCGCCAGGGAGGAGAAAGTACCGATGCAGTGGCAGATCGCGGCACTGGATGGATGCGTGGTCGCCTGGAAACGGCAGGACCCTGGTACAGGAGCGCAGGGCGAATGATGTGTTTATTGATTGTCCTATGCGTTGTTGTTTTGGCAATCTTGTGCGGCCACGGGGGTTGGAGGCCGTTGCACAACGACTATCAAGGCGGGTAGAAACCTTGATCAATATCGATCAATAACCCTCGGGGTCACGGGGATAGCAAGTGGGAGGAACCTTATATTCACGTGGCTGGAAGCTTATCGGCCGGCAGCCGACGTAATATCGCAGTAGCATGGCAGTAGTGGCTTTGGGTGTCGAGGCAGAGGCGCGTGGCGGCCGTTCGCAGGACGGGGACCGAGGGGCAGCGAAAAAGCAGTTCGCAGCTGCATTGGAGCGGGTTCGAGTGCGTGCGCGGCGATGCAAGCAGACGGGCAAACCTGTAATCACTTGGCCTTCCCTGTTCACCAGGCGGAGCAACGGAGTGAAGCGAGGTCAGATTAGCCCGGCCAGGCCTGGGTCAATGCAGGCGGCGTTCAGCCCAAGCGACACGGGCGCTGACTGGTGAATGGCTTGCTATGGCGCGCGCTGGGCGATGTGACAGGGCTGCACATGAATCAACTCTAGTCGGCTTTCTCTTGCTACTTGTAATTAAGACGTCTGCACAGTCCGAGTCGTCGATGACAACTACACACATGTACCCGCTGAGCTGAAGTGCTATGGGGGAGGATGGCCCTACCGGCAATGCAACACAATGTCTTCCCTGCGCCGGGCTCCCCTGCTGAAGGGAAACGCGACATCTGGCCCGGTGCGGGTGCAGGTGCAGGCTCAGACACGGCAAAAAGGCGCGCTGATGATTCGCGCCGCCTGCGGAGGGTGAAGGACTCGAGGGAGCAGCTCAAGAGGAGGACGAGAGCACGCGGCACCAGCAACGCCACCATCGACACGACGACGAGCAACTCGACCTCGGCCGGCCGCAGCTACACGGTTGCGAACGTCCACAACGGCGTCATATACCTGAGGTACGTCGAGATTGGTGTTGATGTTCTACGGCCACCGGTAAACATCATGAACATGAGGAAAGAGCGACCAGTGGACGCAGCCCGCGAGGAAGGCGCACGTCATGCCTCACATGATCCCATGCCTCACCAACCTCAACACCGACCATTCGTAGACTCGTAGACTGACACCCCCAGACCTGTGGCCCGTCCGGGAAACCAGCGAGGCCGTCAGCCGGATCCCTTCGTCTTCCCGCCCCAGACGCCGCCCGACAGCGCAACGCTCGACAAACTCCGCCCGCTGAGCAATGAGTGGGAGCAGAGTCTCTACGGCTCGCGAACACCCCATTCGGAACCTACACCGCCGCTACCGGACCTGAGCGAGGGCAATGCCTTCCAGCAGCACTCCCAGGCCGATTCCGCTGGACGCCCACTCGCACACGCGCGCTCGCACTCGTTCTCTACCGTCGACGACCACACGGCCACGACGCTCAGCCACGAGCCGGGCACCTTCAAGGTGGTGATTGAGCGCCCGTCGCACATGCGCCCGAAGACGGCAGACACGTCGTCGTTCCCGTTGCTGCAGGTCCCCATACCGCATTACCGCTTGGGCACTCCGCGTTTCAGCACACGGGGGACCGCCGACCTGCGCTCCTCGGTCTACACCCGAACCTCAGGCGCCGACGACTTTGCGAACTCGCTCCTGACCCCACAGCGAGGGGTGCGGCAGTCGTTCCTGTCGTCGCGCCCTCGATCAGACGCCTACTCGCCCGTCCCCCACCGCTTCCGCGCCACTATGGACCGCCCGCCAATGCCCCCCTCGGGTCCCTCTTCAGCGCGCGTCTCCCACATGCCTATCAGCCCCCGGCTCTACGATGCCCTCACCACCAACCCCGACGACCGCGCTGTTGTGCGCTTCAACGCCGACGGCGACATCCTCGCAGCCACCCCTTCCCGACTCGTTGCGCACATCACCTCGCCCAGCTTCCTGGATTACGAACTCCTCTCCGACTTCTTCCTTACTTTCCGCGCCTTCCTCTGCACCCGAGATCTCGTCGCATACCTCATCTCCCGCCTACGATGGGCCGTCGACCGCCAAGACGACTTTGGGCGCATTGTCCGTGTACGCACCTTCGTAGCCCTCCGCCATTGGATCCTGAACTACTTCGTTGACGACTTCATGCCCTTTTACTCCCTACGGACCAATTTCTGCGACCTTGTCAACAGCCTGTACAACGATCTCCGGAACCGAGAAGATGGAGGTGGGGGTGACATAAAGATTGTAGGGGAACTGAAGAAGTGCTGGAGGCGGACGTGCGCATTATACTGGGAGATGGAAGACCACATTGGCCAGAACTTTGCGGATGATGAATTACTCCCGGGCGGACACGATGGATCACAAGCGGCATACGAAGAGCCTCCTCCACCAATCCCGTTGCCCTCAACCCCTCCACGAGCCAACATCCGGGATACCAAGGAGACCATCGGCTCAAACCCAAGCGACCACTTTGCTAGCCGGCATATGGACTGGGCGCAGAGAGCACGGCATACGCCTCAGAACTCCATGAGCTCGCCTTACATTTCGCAAGAATACGAGAACCACCAGATACCCCTATCGCCCGCCAGTGAGCAGAGCATGCATGTATTATCATGTTCAATACCTATGCGGCACAAGCATGACCAGGCCGTCGAGCTTCCACTATATCCCCACCCAGTGCCAGTCACCAATCCAGCTCCCACAGGCACCGCTCGCCTGACAGCTAGTCCACAACAACCAGCATCCATCAAGAACGCTCACCGCCCATCGCATGGCCACAAGCGTAGCGGCAGCTTTACCGATGCTCTTCGAGACAGCAGAGCGCCACTATCCATTCCTAAAAACGCACCCGCAGATTTTGCCATGTCTGCTGTCACGAACATGCCCGGCACACTAGTACGTGGTGGACTCTTCCAGCCCAGCTCCCCATACTTCGAGGTCAGAGCTCTGCGCCCTTCACGATCTCAGTATTTGCATGACATCGAAGATGCGGAAGCGAACGAATTCCAGAGACCCGGGCATGCGACTTCCCCAGGCATGAAAAAGATCTTCGGCAGTGTACGCCGCGCGTTAAGCACCCGGCAGAATATGAGTCCAAGCCCTCAATTAGGTAGCGTTGGGCAACAACGGCAGCCGCCATACGTGCGATCCTCCAATCCAGGCGCCATGTCTTCAGTCTCTATCTCAGGGGGCGTACATAAGCGACGTCCTACTCGACCAAAGCCCCAGGTGCGCATTGATGTACTGGCCGCCGCAGTTGCAGAGAGCTTTAGAGCAGCTGTCCAAGAGCAGCTTGAAAGTGAAAGTCAGGAAAATGGTCTCGAGCCCCCTGATCTCGGTGGGTTCGAGTTTGAGTTTGACAGGCGTGGTACCCCAACTCAGCAGGACCGCCAGAAAGCACAGGACCCTCGCGTACACAGCGCCATCACCAGTGGCAGCAAGTCGATAGTGATCATTGACGACACCGGGCCACCACCCGTGCCCGTCATATCGGACACCCTGGTACCCGATCTCGACAAGGTAGCAACAAAGCTGGACAGTCATCAGCAAGAAGAGGCAAATAATGAACAATCGGCTAGTGAGCCCGTTGACCCAGTAAGGCATTCCGAGCTCTACGACGATCCAGAGCCTCGCCCAGCAACAGCAACAGAAGAGCACCGCTATTCGCGAATGTCGACAAGACGACCCACCACCAGACAAACAAGGAGGTCCATCTCTGCGGGCCCAGAAAGGATGCACTCCTTCCGACGCCGGGGGTCGGCCAAGAACTCCCTGGCGCGGGCAGGCTCTCTCCGCCGACATGCATCATACAACAGCGTGCTTAGCCGACGTCAAGGACCCGCGAGCATTGCTACATTCCAAACCATGTCATCAGATAACGATCCCTTCTTTCTCGACCGCCAGCCAGCGCCTGATGCTAGCGGGCCCGGACGCCAGCTTCGTAGGCGTCCGGGTGGTGACCTTCGCGCTGCAGGAAACATCCATGATCTCGAATTATCGCAACGCCCACACTCTACCGGCTCGGTCTCTAACCACACGCATTCGGTCACAAACTCGGTCATTCTACGATCCGATCGTTTCAACGACCCAGAAGCAGAAGCCCAGCCCGTCACAGAAGGGCCAGCCGAAGCCGAGGTCCCAAAGAAGCCCATCTCGCTAGTAGATACACACTCTTCGCAGCCCAATCTAAGACCGTCTTTCGAAGCCGAAGTAGCAAAGCTTGCTGCTCTTCCTGACGATACGGACGACGAAGGTGGTGTCGAGTCGGCTCTGATGAAACTGGAGGGCCGTTACGAGAAGAAGTCGCCCAGCATTCCCTCCCAACGGACTACTGTTGAGCTAGACTACTACCGCCCGACAGGCGCTGATCAACAACGCGCACGAGCTGATACCTTCGACCAGGGAGGGCGTCCCGAGACCGACGACGTCTTCCACCGTCCACTGGCTCCTCCAGAAACAGACGGGCAAGAAATGTACCGCCTCTCCGCCGAGAACTTCAACCGCCGTGTACCTGCGGTTCAGTCTGTTGGGGAGTCGACCGACTCTTATTCCTCAATACCTCTTCTCGACCGGGGCTTGAGCCAGATTGAAACCCCCCAACGAGGACATACGCTTGATACCATGAGGTCTTCCGCCAAACCGTCTCCTCTGCATTTCGCTAGTGTCTCACCCCATTCTGAAGGTCCACCAGGAACATCTTCGTCGATGGAGTCCTCTATTGACTACGTCGTCGAAACAGAGAGCATGAAGCAAATACCGCCGGGTGGCACTTTGCCAAGTACAGCCTACCCGCGCGAATCGTTCTTGCTTGACGAAGACGAGGATCTCAGTGACAGGAGTTCTGCTGGAGGAGCGAAGTCAGGTCGTGACAGTCACGGCGTAAGGAGTTTCTTCGACGACGAGCCAGCAACCCCCGAGGACGACCCTGACAATCTCACGCATCCTATGCGCCACCCTCCAACACCGCCTCTAACGGGTAACCGACTGAACGACGAATTACCTAGCTCAACAGTGTTCGACCGAGGGCTGCCAACACCAGGCCTCACCCCAACCGTCTCTCGCGCGAACCAGCAGCCGTCCACACAGCCTGTGCAGCTTGCTGAGTCTCCCGCTGATCTAGAAGGTCCTCAGCAGAGTGCAGCTCTGACTCGGACTGCACATTTGCCTTTCATCTTGGCCCATGACTCCGAAGTCCTCGCTCAGCAGTTTACCATTGTTGAAAAGGACGCATTGGACGAGATTGATTGGAAGGAACTTATTGAGTTGCGCTGGAAGCAGTCTTCCCCGCAGATCCGCGACTGGGTACAATATCTCCGAACGGAAGAGGCTAGAGGTGTGGATGTCGTCATCGCACGATTCAACCTTGTCGTCAAATGGGTCGTATCCGAGGTCCTGCTCACCGAGGAAATCCATGAGCGTGCGCGATGCATCACCAAGTTTATTCACATCGCAACCCACGCGCGACGATACCGCAACTACGCTACAATGTACCAGATCGCGATCGCCCTGATATCGAACGATGTATCAAGCCTCAAGAAGACATGGGCTTTGGTTCCCGCAGCCGAGATGCTGGTCATGACAGAGTTGGAAGCGCTTGTCCAACCGCTGAAGAACTTCCACAACCTGCGGCTCGAAATGGAAACAGCAACTGTAGACGACGGTTGCATTCCATTCATCGGTGAGTAATTGCTCCAACAGTCGCCTTTTCAAAAGCTAACAGACCACCAGGCGTTTACACCCGCGACCTCATCTACAACGCGCAAAAGCCCGCCTTCATCGACGCCCCACCCGCCGACGGCGAACGCCTCGTCAACTTTGACCGCCACCACACCGCCGCCACCATCGTTAAGAACCTCCTCCGCCTTCTCGAAGCCAGCTCCAAATACACCTTCAACGTCGAACCTCACGTCCTCAGCAAATGTCTCTGGCTCGCTGCCCTCAGTGACGAGGAAATCACGAGACGCAGCCGCCAGTGTGAATGATTAGATACCCCCCTTCTTGCTTTTCTCCCCACCATCGTTCTTGACGGCGTTTGAGCGAGCGAGCGAGCGAGCGAAGTGGAACTTCTCATGCCGAGGGTTTTCCTTGTATTGTCTTTCTCTCTCCATTTCCCTTTGCTAATACCCCATCCACATCTCGGCGCAATTGGTTCTGGCGCAGCTGCATCAACCCGACACGATATTACGACATTATTACCATACCACCTCGCTGTTGTTTCGCATATAACCGAGTCTTCCATACGGAACTCGTAGTCTACTGTCTAGTTACTTAGAATCTAATTAAGACGTGTGCCGTATTGAGGTACATGATGTTTGTCTGAATAATAGCGTAATTGATCGAAATCTGTTGTGCATGTGATCTTGTCGTGCTCTTGTCATCCCGTATCCGTAAGGCTGATTCCGCAGCTTAGTTCACCTTAGTGCGGGCACCAAATGTTCACGCGACGCGAACCCCAGACGATCGCATCAGCCACAACATATCCACACACGCAGTACACGTTACTTCCCTTTCAACGCTGCGCACATCGATCAGGCATTCTAATGGCACTGTAGTATCATTCTGATAAACGGACAAGGGAACACGGAAGACTGGAAGGAACTGCAAATCTCCCCCGCTCCCGTGACGCTTCATCGCGTCCGTTGGTGGGCTTCATTTCAGCCTCATGATCGCATCAGCCACAACATACCCACACACGGCAGCACGGCATGACCTTCCTCTGAGCGCAGCACCACACACGGGATTAGGCCACCATCATGGCACTCCACTACCACCCACCGTAACATACCTCTCCGCGATCGCACATCACATCACCTATGTGCGCCTTGTTTCCACCAACCGACCTGTTTGTTCGTCGTACGCGGTCGCCGTGCTCTCTCGTTTTCGTTGGCGGCTGATCATCCTTGAATGCTCGCGCGTTTAGTTCACGGCATACCTGCGAAGGAACGCTTCAACTACCAGGAAGGAGATTCGGTATAGCATGGCTGGTATAAGGACGGGAATGACGAATACTCCGCCGCCGATTACGGTTGAGGATACGGCGACGGGGGTCGGGCCGCTGCCGAGTCCGGAGATGGAGGGTGTGAATGGTGAGTACAACGCTCCGGGGAAGAGAAGAGAAAAAAGTAAAGAAAGAAGCTGTGAGGAAGAGGTATGATAGCGCGGATCTTGGATACGAATAGAAGTACCTATTGGTCTTGGAAGTTACCAGGTTGGCGTTGCGCTGGCAGATGTCGCAACTAGCTGTCGCGCTTGCTGGCTGTCAGGATCCCTAGCTGACATTCAGAACAGCCCCTCGAGCCTTTACCACGTCTACGCACTACTCCCACGAACACGAACAGTCACATTTACGACACCGGGAACCTCCGAAAGGCACGTTTGGCCACCGTCGCAAGCACAGCCCGAATCTCGAATGGCGGCAACCATGGACAAAGGAGAGCTGGTCACAGGGCCGCGTGCTGCTCATCGATTATGTCGCAAAGGAACACTCAGCGGAGGGCAGACGGAAGATTGTGGCACAGGAGTTCTCCGACATCGACAGTCTGCGCCGGTTCTATCGCAAAGAAGATCTCTCGGCGCAAGCAGCATTGCGCGTGATACACGTCCAAAACGCCAGCTGGGCCACACGTTACCTCCTCCGCAAGTTCAACATCGACGCCACGGACGATCTGGTAGGCACAAACTTCGGTCGCTGGGCCAGCTATGAGAAGCCTCAACAACGCGGCGGCAAACCTGTCCTTAATGGCCGTACATTCCGCGCTCAACGCGATCCCTGGCGCGGCATCTCGCGCGCTGCCTTTGGAGCCGATTACCTCAAATCCTACGATAGGAATACGCACATTCCCCGACCGAATAACAACAAGTCCATCATGGAGCTCAATCACTACGACGAGACGGATCAGCCACGATATGGACACGACGTATATGTGCAGCGCTTGAGCTGTTACGTTCAACTCAGCGACGGAACCCCAGGGCAAGCCGTCGACCCCGATATACCGAACCCATACGACGAGGAAGCGTGGGAGGAGTACATGCGATTGAAGAAGAGTTACGGCAACGTAGATGCGAATGAGCACCAGGAACGTTACATCCCCAAGCTCCGGTCCCTCGACAACGGCAACACAATCATTCTGTTTGAGAACTCGGTCACAGGCTCCGTCAAAGATACCCTTATCGGCGCGCGACAAGAACTAGAGTCTCGCTGGAGACGACTATCCTTCTACTTGCCCATGGAGGAAAACGATGAGACGCTGACGGCGGAGTGCATGGATTTCATCTTGCAGGATGTGTTCAAAGCGTTGAGCTACAACTGGCAGAAGTTTCTGGCTGTTTGTGAAACCCATGTTGGGATTCTGGAAGATAAGAGTGAGTAGTAACTTCCACCTACCGCTCACAAGAAAATATACTGACCACAATCCCACCCAGTCTACGAGAACCCCGCCGACGAATCCCGCGCCCCTGAACTTTGGAAGAACAGCGCACAATGGCTCAAGGTCGAACGCCTCATATACATCCACGTCGACGTAATCAAGGAAATGGTCACACATCTTCACGACCTAGCGGGTGCGGACCCTAAAGAATCTTCAGACCAGCCCTGGCTGGGTTCCGTACCAGACGAACTCGACAAGTTGACCGGACAGTGGGAAAGAGATGTCATCCTCCCCACGACCGCTCTATCAGACCTCATGTACAAGAGCGTAGGTATTAGGGATGCGCGACATTCTTTACAATTAGGCCTGAGTATGTGGCGTCTGAGTTGGATCACATTCATGTACGCCCTCCTCCCCTCCCCCCTCCCTCATCCCTCACCAGAAACTAACATTGTGTTCCCCCCAGTTTTCTCCCCCTAACCTTCACAGTCGGTTTCTTCGGCATGAACGTGTCCACCTTCTCCGAAAACCCGCCCCTAAAATGGTGGTTCATAGTCTCCATCCCCGTCCTCGTCATTGTCCTCATCCTCTGGTACGGCGTAAAACACAATCTCGCGACGCAACGTCAGAACCCCATGCGGAGAGGTGTCTACGAGGCGCTGTACCATGAACTTGCTACTGCGCAGCCCAGCCTGTGGAGTCGCAGTGGGCCGAGAGACGATGTTGTGCCTGTGGGGTGGTGGGCAGGCTTCAAATGGCGGCTCATCACGCGGTGGTTTGGCGAGGAGAAAGTTAGACCGGGGAGGAATGTTGATGGCAGTGGGAATGCGACTGGGACTGGTGGGGAGGACTTTGGCGTTGTGGGACGCTGCAGAAGGGCGTTGGCGAGACGCTGGTTGGGCGAATTGGCCGTCATGCCTATCCCGCGCCATTCATCCCCCTCCCGCAACGACAACAAACCACTCCCCTCATCCTCTTCCCAGCGCTCCAGCAGCAGGAGCTCTGTGCGCAGCGAAGTCGCTTCGTGTATGCTTACTACCACCGCCAACACTGCCAACACTACGACGCAAGAGATATCGGATAAGAAAATGGGTGCTGTGGCGCAGTTGGCGAGGGTGGCGACGCCGGTTGCGCTTGCGGATGCGGATCCGACGGCTGCGTCCAGGATGCAGAGGGCGAGTAGGAGGGACGGGAGTAGTTTGAGCCCGGATGGGAGGAGGAGAGGGAGTGTGACGAGTAGTGATGGGGGGGTTATGGTTGAGGAGAAGGGGGGGAGTGGGGATGAGAGGGAGGGGAGGGGGAGTGAGGGGAGGGATAGGGATAGACGGAGGGTGAGGGGGTTGGATGTTCCCAGCAGAAACTGAGGGTGGGAAGGGTGGTAGAGTCAGTTGTAGGATTTGAGTTATGGGGCTGACGAGGTTGGCGGTGCAGAGATGTAGATGAGATGATGGATTTGCCGCCGGTTTTGCAGAATACATGCTCTTGCGTCTCGGGTTTTCGTCATCCCACGGACATCGATGCCAGATACCACTTTTTTGGTCCTAGCTTCTGCGCGCGCCTGCCATATAAATACCCCTCTCAAAGCCCTCTCTTCCTTTCTTCCATCACTCACTTCCTTCTTTATAGGACCAAAACACGTCGAGGAGAGGTCTATGGGCGCGCTGCCTCCTCTTTCTCCAAAAAGAGACTTGAACACAGCCACGTCCTGCGTCCTCCTTCTTTCTTTCAAAAGATAACAGAGAGATGCCATGACTGTTCCTCCTCGCCTTCTCTGAACCGGTCTCAAAAAGTCTATCACATATGCACATGTCTCGCTTCTTCCTCCAAACTTCAAAAAACTCACTCATGTGACTCTTCTTTCCGCCTCCTCTGGACCGTATCTAAAAGCACAGTGGTGCATGCCATGTGCTGTTTCTTCCTTCGAAATGCACCAAGGGTCGCCTGATGACTGTGGCTTCCGCCTTCTCTGGATCAATCCAAAAAGTGCAATGAATGTGTTGCCATGCGCCGCTTCTTCCTCCAAAACCAGCGAACTATATGTCTATGGTTGTCTCTGCCTCCGCCTCCCTTGGAATGATTCAAAGCTCCATTCCCGCACGACATGTGCCGCCTCTTCTTCCAAAGATTATGACAACATGCATCATGATTGTCTCCTCTGCCTTCTCCAAGCAAATCCAAAAACACGAATCACAAGAACCATGACTGCCTTCTCCGCCTTCCTGGGCTTATCCAAACTCGTCATTCGAGAGACCATGTGTCGCTTCTTCCTCCAGAAAACGTCTTCATCGAAGTCAGATGACTGTTCCTTCCGCCTTCTGGATCCAAATATACGAGGATATAAGCTACGAGCGAGTTTTGAGTTCCTACTTCTACCTCAAAAGCTACCTTGGACTGCTTTTTACCAAAAAATCAAGGCTAACCACCTATGTTCTGCGCCCTTCTTTCTTCCTCCAAAACCAGTTCCAAACTACGAACATGGCTGTGTCTTCAACTTTCCTGACTCTAAATAAATGGATCTACACCCGATGAGCCAGCTGGAACTGGACTTTCTTATCCAAGACATGCGAGAGACCATTCATGTGTGTTTCTGGTCTCCAAACGATATCTGTATTTCCACTATGGAAAGACCGAACAGTCATCGGCTCCAGTATATGTCGGCGTCCTTCTCACACCCGCTGTATTCGACCTAGCGCAAACCACCTGTTGCGCATATATAAACCTCCGTTGGTGCGCTCTACTTTTCCTCATACACTCACATTCCTCGGAGTGGGACCAAATACCTGCTGGGCGTAGCCCATGTGTGGCTTTCTCCTTCTTTTCTCCAAAAATCAGAGGTGTTCTGGCGATGTTCTGCTGGCTCTTTTCTCCAAAACTCTACGAGCTCTTCTCTCATGTGGCTTGCTCGTCTTTTCCTCCAAATGTCATATCCCGTCATATCATGGCTATTTTCTCCGTTGTTCTGGATCCAAAATAATACACAACTATGACATGAGCCAAATGCAGTGGAGGTTGCTCTTTCAAAAGCGACAACACCAATCTCATGTATCCTTCTGGTTCCCCGCTCGCAAAATTGCGATGGTGGAGAGACGCGCTTGTTCAAACGCTTCGCCAGCTGTACACATGAGTGTGACTGTCTGTGTCCTTTCTTCCACTTGCGAAAACACTGCCGTTTGTATTCATGGTTCTGTTGGTCTCCTCTGGTGGTCGGAGGAGGTATATAAATCTCACGGGTGGTGGACTCTTCCCTTCTTCCAACACACTTTTACTCCTCTTTGTGGAACCAAAAGCCATTCGCCAATGTCACATGAGTGTGCTGCTTCCTCGCTTTCTAAATACGCACCCAGACGGTGATATGTGTTTGTCGCTTCCTCTTTGCTCTAAACAGAGTTAGGACACAAACATGTGTTTGTCGCTTCCTCGTCTTCTCGAAATTGGTCACTGAGGTCGGCATGCGTGTGGCGCGTCCTCTTACTCTAAACAAATCGCTAAACAGCACATGCGCGTGTGGTTTCTTCCCTGTCTACAAAACTCAAATGGAGCGTGAAAAAGGTACATGCGCTGCGTTCTCGAATATGCCCTTAGAAAATGAATTATGCCGTTCTTATGGACTTGCGCTTCCAAAAGACTCCTGAGATACAGGCATGATCAAGCCCTCGTGAACACCGTCCTCACATTAAAACAACGCGGTGTTCGACCAACCTTAGCCGCAGAAGCAATACGATCAGGTGAGGTCTGCCCAGAAATGATGTTACCTCAGCCCCGTGGCGACCGTAACAACGAAACAGCAACTAAACAGACTTTTGGTCGAGAAATGACGTTCCTCGCACCACCATCATGGGGAAATACGAGAGCGCACCTAGCGTCTCCACTGTGGCCATGCTGGCAAAACTGGTAGACTAACTGGATAGCGGTAGCACACTCACCTAATCAGCTCACAATCCGAGGCATAGCCTGCAACCAACATCTTATCGACCGTCCATATCACCCTAGAAGACGGTGAAGGAGCACACTGTTCGCATCGTGGGAGAAGGGCATAAGACGTTGACGCCAAATATAGGCCATGGGTGGACCGTGATGCGCGCGTTGTGGTTAGTGGACGGGGACAGCCTTGTCGAGCGTTAGTGCGTCATGCTGTAACGGGCATCCTCGGCTGGCGATCTCGGCGCAAAGTGACGTCTAAATGCCCGAACGAGTAAACTTTGTCCGTCCGTACGGCTAATAGCCGTATTGGCGATTGATTAATCGGCACGACTATGCCTTTGGCTGTGGGTTGGGGGCTCGTATTGAGAAGATTGGGGATTGTATATTAGACCTTCGTCGCGTCGTTCGTTTTGCTGTACTCACAACCTCACAATACTCACGCCTCACACCTTTACACCTAATACCAACCCACCAAACCCACACACACACAAACCGCAACCATGGTCTCCTTCACTGCCCTCGCTCTCCTCGCCTCAACCGCCATGGCCGGCCCCGTTGCCCGCCAAATCGCCATCCCAGAAGGCTGGACCTGGCAAGTCGAGAACTGGGAGGCCGGCTGCTCCCGCCAGGGCTGCTACTACAACTTCAACATCACCGTGCCTAGCGTGCCGGAAGGTCCCGCCGGCGTCAAGGCGTACTGCCACGGCTACGAGCAGGGCTACGACCAGAGCTTCATGATTCCTTCTGCGTATGAGAACTGCCAGCTGCTTGAGGGTGTCAACAATGGTGTTGCGGCTAGGCTCTCTGAGAGGGTGCACGATGGTCAGGGTCTTGGACCTAAGGAGATCGAGGTTAGCTTTGAGTATGCGGCTTATGGTGACCGGTAAGTTTTCACATCTTCCTTTTCTGTTACATTTGATGGACGTAAGCTGATCTTGATACCATAGCCCTGCGTACAACTTCTCCGGCACCCACGAGGCTAGGTACAACCAGTTTGTCACTTACCCTCTCAACTTCACCATTACTCCTACCAAGGTCTTCGGTATCGCATAGATGGGAATGATGTGGAGATAATGAAGATGATAACCTCCTGGAGCTCTATCGAGACGGATAGAGACAACATAGAATAATGTTAATGACTGCAAGATGCAACAACTTGGAAAACTTCGTTCTTCACCCTGCATGTCTTGTGATGGTCGCGATTGATCACTCTCTTTAGTTTGAACATGGCATGAAGTCACGGCAAGACACGTGCTCTCTTTGATCTCTTGGCAGAGAAAGGTATATAAGCTTCACGAGCGCCGGTCCTTGACTTCTTCATCATCTTTCTCCATTATTTTCTCCAAAATTTTCGACTGACTCTCCGATGACCTTCTCGCCTGCTCCAAAAAACATCACCTCGAGAATGATGTGTCTTCTCTCAAAAGCCACCTCAACAACGCCATGTTCCACTGTCTGCTCGATTCTAAAAGATGGAATTACCGTGTCATGGCTGCCCGTTCAAAATCACTCACTATGTCGACATGTTGGGGAGATCGACTAAAGCACTGGATATATTTCCTCGAAATATACCCACACAACGCCCATGGCTTCCGCGAGTGGAGGAAGCGCCGCTAGGCAAAGACGTATAAAAGCTACTCTTTGCGATTGCTTCTCTCTTCTTCCTTATCGCCAACCCTTCGGTCGTACACACGAAAATGCTTGCATCAAATTACATGGTCTCTTTTCTCTGTTCCAAACTTTACAGCATCAGCCACATGTTTAGCGAAAAGACACATGTCCGCTTTCTATTATGGCTAAAACGAGTGTCAGAAACATGGTATTGAAACCAGTACTTGAATACCAGAAAACGGCTGTACCATGGTTCATGTCCGTCGCCTCGTGGAGAGAAGAAAAAAAGGTTACCGCATTGTCCATGCTTCCTGCGTCCGACGGTCGAAATATCCAAAGGCTGCGAAAGGCTCTTCCTTCTTACACTCTTTTCACCCATCAAAAGTGACTCAACCTTGCATCAAAAGCAGTAGCCACAAAATTCATGGCTTTTTCCCGTACTTCTCTCCAAAACTTTACCGACATGTCGTACTCGAGGCCGATATGTACCTCCTAACAATACCATGAGTACCGGCGGAGCTTGAAACAGTTACGGAACGTCTTAATGTGCTTCTCGAGAGCGCGCAGCCGCTAGTACGATATTTAAACCGCAATTGAGTCTACCCAGTTATTTCTTTCCTTCAACACCACCACGCTGCTTTGTGTACCAAAACCCGATTTACCAAAGTTCATGTGTTTGTGCGAGCTGGTTCCGTAAAAAGCGGTCTCGTCGGTTGCATGTGTTCAGACTCACAAAGCATAGCGAAATACTCTCCAACTATCTATTCCAGAGTACCAAACTACTTGTCGTGTGTCTTGGAGCACGCAGTCACGAGATTACGTTGGCATAGAG